TAAGCTCTTGCTCTGAACCCCAAAAAAGCCCAGTTAAAAATCAAAAGCAACTGCTCACACTAAAGTTCTGTTATCAAATTGAAACTTTAAGCTGCTATCTTTCCTTTGAAGAAATCAAGAGAGAAAGGTAATAGCTGACTAGTTTTGGGAAGATGATAATGAAGTTCCCCCTGCTTTGATCCTTACAGTAAAAGTAATCTGAAGGAAGCGGGTATTAACCAGGCAGTTGTCTTTCTAAACTCCGTCACACTCTCTCCATCTTGCAAGGAGAATAACTCTGAAAGGACAAATCTTTCTGTTCTCTGTTTCTGCTTTCTTATGCCCTTTTCTCACTATGAAACCAACTTTGTGTACTTAGCTCATGGAAACATGTACTTTCTTTGCCAGATTCCAGAATTGCAAACAAAGCCTATTAAGATGGTTAAACTAAATTGTTGCAATTTCATCTTTTGACAAGCCTGCTCACACTACTCAGTGAAACTTTTTTCCAAGGTCTTAGTAAATTAGTGTGTTGAAATGTGTTTTTATTCATGATACTTTGGCTTGTAAGTAATTGCTTTATTATTCAATGCTGTCAAAATGTTTCATATAGCAAATAACATTAATTAAAATAAATTTATAACCCTTATTTAAATAAATCTACCCAGCTGACCTTTCAAGAATTCATCCCTTTTTGGCTTAAGCCAGTTATTCAAGAGAAATATATTGTGCTTGCCTTAAGAGTTTTTAAAATTTATGAGTATGGAAGAAAGATTAATTTCAAGAAAGGTTACCCAATCTTTAGCTACCTAATTTTATGCAAAATAGATTAACTAAAACAATCTTGTGAGCTATAAGAAGAAATAACTACTTGTGCATTTATCATATACCGTGTAGCATACTTCATTAGCATTTCTTTTTTGCATGAATGTATGATAAAAAAAATTTTAGGCTTCTTTTGGTAACATTTGTTTTGAGAATCAAGTAGAACTGTTTTAAGAGGCAAAACTAAAGTCTCCACTCCTACTTGCCTATCTTTTGCAGGGAGGGAAACCACACAAAAAGAATGCATGAATCAATCAATCACAGCAAGCAGATCCACAGAGAAAAATCATTTTTTGTTCAAAAGCACACTGCCAACTCATACCAGGGGATTACATGCCTAACTCATTGCCATCACGAATAGCCGTCACTTTGGATACAACATGTTTATGCAGGGATTTTTTGACATCTGAGAACTGTATCAAAGCATCCCTTCAAAGTAGAAAGATGAAAATGGACCCCCAAGAGCCTGCTGCCACTGAGTAATGGTGTTGTGATAGTGTCACCCCACTTGCTCACTTTCCAGTCCTAGAGGACTCTTAAAAACCAAGTCCTACTGACCACTGAGCCCAGCCCGCTCAATGGACAGCTCCATTACAAGATTGTCTTATTCCTCCTAAGGGCCGAGCCCCATGTAGGTGTGAGGTTTACTGAAGAATTGAGCTGTAGTTGTCAACCTCTCCCATTCTCCTGAGCCCCTTTAGTCAGAAAACACAGAACTGCTATTAAATGTACTAAGAAGATTTTATTTTGAAGAGGACAGAATGGAGGGGGACAAAGAGCAGAGTGGGGTTAGAGCCTGCCCTGAGAGGGGAGAGGGGTTGTTCAAACCAGGACTCATTCCATTTGAGCAGCAGGCAGAATCCCTTCTTTAGCAGCTTGTTGGGGCAGGTGCAGAGCACCACTTGACCCTGGTAAGGTGGGTGGGAGACATGCAAAAAAGGTTCCTTTGGTGAAGTTTAGAGTGCACTGTCCCCCAGGCTTTCTGGAGTCCCATTCCTAGCTCCTTCTATCCCTAGGGTAGCCAATATCTCACCACGACCTGATCATTTCATCTACCACTTGTATTTTCCAAATATGACTCCAAGCTCTCTACATCTGACTAGTTCAGACTCCCACCCGATACCTTCCACTTGACACCCCTTCCCCACCCACCAGCCAGTTGCCAGGCTCTGTTCCCTGCTTTCAGTTGCAGTAACAACATGTGATTTTCAAAGGGTCTGCTAACAGACAGACCAGGAGCAGGGCAGAGGGTGGGATGAGGTTGTGGTGTTTATTTCCTGCATCCCTACCGCAGAGCAGCCTCTGGCTTGTCATACCACTTGGCTTAAGCTTATGGCCCCATCTCTCTCTTTGTCAGGCTAACCCATGGCCTCTCTTTCCCTGGCCATCTTCTTCCTGGACACTCCACAGTCCCTTGGGGTTTGCTTTCACCCAGCCTCTATTAAGAGCTCCTTCATGAAACTTCTTAGTTTACTCCATTACAGTATTTCCTAATCATGTCTGATTGATATCACTTCCGAAAATGTTTTATTTCAAAATAGTTATAAATTTACAAAATGAAAACTATGAAATACTACAACGTTCTCATCTATCCCACATCCAGCTTCACCCACTAATTTCTCATCTAAACATGATGCGGCCCTAACAACAATCTCTTAGCTAGTAAATCAAAGTGTGCATGTGCACACACATACACACCAGAACTATCTCTAGATTTTTTTTTACTTTAATTGGAAAGTCAGATATACAGAGAGGAGGAGAGGCAAAGAGGAAGATCTGTCCAATGATTCACTCCCCATAACAGCCATAGATGTATTGATCTGAAGCCAAGAGCCCAGAACCTCTTCTGAGTCTCCCACGTGGGTACAGGGTCCCAAGGCTTTGGCCCATCCTCAACTGTTTTCCCAGGCCACAAGCAGGGAGCTGGATGGGAAGTGGGGCCTCCAGGTTTAGAACCATTGCCCATATGGGATCCCATCGCCCACGTGGGGTACTGCCACCACAAACAGGGGCTCAGCCTACTACGTCTCAGTGCTGGTCCCAGAGGCTGGGTAACTATATAAAGAAAATAAATTCATTTTGCTTACAGTTTGGATGTTTAGGGGCTCACATCTGCTGATGATCTTCCTGGCAGAGTTCTGAGGTGGTTCAGACTGTCATAGGACGAAAGAAAGAGACTATGTGTGTGTGTTTGTGTGTCCCTTCTGCTCTCTCTCCCTCATCTTTTAAAGTCACTAATATTCTACTATATGGGTTCCATGTGCACTGTTATTAGTTATCTAAACATCACAGTGTGACAGGTTTCAAAGACAATGAAAAGAACAAAGGCTATAGAAGCAGATCCCTAGAAAAGGCCTGACAAAGCCTATTAGTCTCCTGAAGACACCCAATTCATCCCAAAGTCAAGTCTGTTTCAAAATCTGCACCTTCTTCCTGAAGTGTGTTACAAACTTTTCAAAATACAATAAAAATGACAATGAATATGTAGCACAAACAGCCCCACAACTTTAATCACCTCTTTCTCTGAGTCAACTTAAATACCACCCTCCCTGGGATATATTAGGTAACCATCTCCACCCCAAAGCTAGGTTTGGCACCTTTGCCTCTCCTGTTTTCCCATAAAATTGTGTTGAGAGTATTTTATTCAACTATAATATATTAAAAATCAGTTGTTTTTCTGAAGGCCCAGCTGAAATAATGGGTACTTTAAGTATTGCATGTATTCCGAGCACCTTAGTAAGCGTTAAGTGAGTGCTCACTTAGTGAATGAACAAACTAATGCAATCCTAGGTTCTAGATCTTCTTCCAGAATAAAGGTGTACTGTTTAAGAGAAATCTGATGGATTGAGTAAATATGTAAGAATAAATCTTTCATGAAAAAGAAGAAAAAAAAACAAAACAACAAAACAAAATAAAGGTGTAATTGGAGTAAGATAGATGGAGCATGTGGAGAGAGAGGTCTAGCTTTTGCTTATCTCAGGAATATCCATCATCCACAAAGCATAAGTCGGAGGAAAAGGAAACTCCATGTACTAACTTTATTTCTTTGGTTACGGAGAGAAGGAACTATAATCGTTAGGAATAGAAATCATTGGGAATGGTTCTCCTACAAGAAAACATGATGAATTTTTATTTAAAATTTATTTCAAAAGTATTTATCTGTCTTGATATTTGCCAAAGATTTGTTACAGTTGACGTGCTCAAATAAGGCAGTTCTAAATTCACAGCCATAGATTTGTGGAGATTTGGGCAGAGGGTCACTATTCCAAATATCAAAAAAGCACAATTTTACAGTGTACACAAGGCTTAATGCTACCCAAAGCCTGCACATTTAAAAGACAAGAATGGCTACTCGACAACATGTATTTTGAGAACAGAGCTGAGCTAGCACCACAGACAGCCTGGGAGATGCTATGCCTAAGGAATAGGATCGAAAACCCTTAACAAACCATTACATCACTACAGGCAAATGTTCATTCAATGCACCACTAAGCGCTAGGCACTCAGCGAGGAGGCCTGAGAGCAGCAAGACCACTTTGGGCTAATAAAATAAATGTCAGCAGAGCCATAAGTAAGTATGGCTGTGCGTCATATGGAGGTAGGATAAACAAACTTCAGAGAATCAGCAAGGACTCCTCTTGTGCACTTGAAAATGAACACAAGTTTAGAAAGGGCTTGAGGTTGGCAAGCAGCCAGGCCAGAACACTGCAAGCAAAGTATTAGCTGCATCTGCAGCGAGGCCAGAGACCCACAAGGGTAAAAAAGTGAGACCCACTGCCCTTGGGCAGCCTTGGGATGACTTACAGGCTAGGTACTTCACAGTTTACAACGCCCTTTCACCTCATTATCTATTTGGTTGCTTCACATCAGGCCTGTAAAGCAGATGTTCCATAACCCTGGTGCCAGACTCAAGACTAAATATTTGCTCATGTGTGCAATTGTTTAGATTGGATTTTAGATATGAAAAAACCACTGCATGCCTAGGATTTAAAGAGCAGAGATTTAAGAGAGAATGCTCTGTGTTCACGACAGCTGGAGAGGAAAGTTTGAGGCCAAACATCAAGGAGGGAGTTCCAGGCCAGTCCCGCTACAACACAACCAAGGGGGCACCACTTCCACCTCCTACAGCAACTGCAAGTATCCTGCTAGACTTCTCTGGACCAAGTTCACAAGGAGAAAGAACCAACAGAGTCTCTATGCTCAGGCCACTGGCCCAGAGTTGGAGGGACCGCCTGCCCAGTGTGGCTCAAGTCTGTGTGAGAAACACCAGCAGGGGCATGTCATTAGCCCACAAAGTTGCCGTGATCACAGGCTCCACAAATGGGTGAGTAACACTTGGGAATTCCAGAATTATGGGTGTTTCTGCATTCTGTTGATACTATTTTAATCTTATCCCCACAAAGCAAAAAGCTCACCTAGCTGTATTCTAGTAGCTTGAGGGGAATGTGAAATGTGCATGTGTATGTGTGTGTGTGACTGAGTCAGCCCAGGCAGCACACCAGTGGACAACAGGTTCCTGCAGGTACCCCTAGAAACAGGAAACATGCCTGAGGGAATTCATCCCCTGTTCCCTACCCCCACAGAGCCAGCACTGCCCTGCCTAGTTAACGCCCAGCACCTGCAGGTTGCACGCCTGAATCTCATGTTTCTCAGGCTGGATGGAGACCAATAGTTGTCTGGTTTGGCATACAAAACAACTCAACACCTTGAGGAACTGAGATGTAGCTGACTTGAGAGTAGACCCCAAGCAAGGGAGGCCAGTAAGACAAGGGGGTGGGGAGTACAAAGGAGGAACAGCACACCCTGCCTGATGCATTCACCCCGCTGTGTCTAGTCCTCCAACCATTCACAGTGTGTCAGTAGCTGCTCTGGATGGGTGCAGAGAATTCACTTGTGCTGAGAAATGCAACAAGAAGGAAAGGGCTCAATCCAAGGCAGAATGGTCTCATCCTCCTGTCCCTCTCTGCCCGCAGGATTGGCTTAGCCATTGCCCGGCGTCTGGCCCAGGATGGGGCCCACGTGGTCATTAGCAGCAGGAAGCAGCAGAATGTGGACCAGGCTGTGACTATGCTGCGCAAAGAGGGGCTCAGCGTGACAGGCACCGTGTGTCACGTGGGGAAGGCGGAGGACCGGGAGCGGCTGGTGGCCACGGTGAGGGGCAAAGAAGAAAATACACCCCAGGAGGCAGGGATCCTGCCACTAGGAACCACCTTCGGGAAGAGGGCTAAAGGCACCTAACCATAACATGAGTCAAGATGACTTCCGTGGGCTCACAATCTCCCCTAACACTCTTGTTCAGAGAAAGGTGCCCATCAAAGAGGGAAGAAGGGGAGGTGGGCTCAGGAAGAAGGGGAGGTGGGCTCAGGAATGGTAAGACATTGGGGTGGAGAGTGTGTTGGTGGGGAAGCAGAACTCTGTTCCCAGCCAGCAACTACACCTGCCAGGCCCTCCTGGAAGACCCTTGAGAAGATGTAACAGACAAGGGAGGCTCGGTTTTATCATCAGAGTTAGAGAATTCAGTGAAATGGAGAGGTCTCAGTGAATTCTGAAATGGTGCAGGGGGCTGGTAGGCAAGAATGCCTGGGAGTACAAGGAGGACAGGAACATGTTACTGAGACAGAATGGATGGAATTGCACCTCCTTTTTTTGGTCCAGAGTTTCAGTGTCTGGCCCCTCCAAGAGTGTCCCGGGTCTACTATAGATATCTCCAGTTTCACAGAGTGACTGGTGCTCTCTGCCCAGACTTTGGAATTGACCAGGTATATCCCTAGGGACCTCACACAGCAATCGCCTCCTACTGCTGCCCAAACCTCCTTTCACTTGCTGACTTTATCCCCCATGTCTCCTCCTCTCCCACAGACCCTGGAACACTGTGGGGGTGTGGACCACCTGGTGTGCGTGGCAGGGGTCAATCCCCTGGTGGGCAGAACCCTGGGGACCAGCGAGCAGATCTGGGACAAGGTGAGAAGTCTGGGGAAGCCAGGGAGGGGTGGGTAGACTTCATCCTCACACCTTCTCAATAACCATACTTCATCTGAACTCACAGGACCAGACCTGGTCCTCACCTCCCACATTCCAGCCTCCATCACAGGTTACTCAACCAGGCTAGTGCCTAGACTCCTGGAGCCTCTATTTCCCCTTGCGTGACGTGGCAGGAAAACTGTTCGAGTTGCACTTTTAGTCTCCCACCATTCAGGAATTCCAAGCATGCTGGGAGTGCCTGACATAAAACCAAGGAGTCACCAACAATATAGGGAATGAAGGCAATCATGAGTCCCTTCCTTGCCTGGGGGTGCTTAAGACCCAGCCCTACAAGTTGTAATCCTGAGATCCCATCTATAATCTGTTTGTGCACTGTAACATAGTAACAGTGAGTGGACTGCACAATAGAGATGTACTGGCCAGCACCTGCAATGGCTGGAAGTCCAACACAGGTGTTGGCAGAGCTGATTCCTTCTAGAGCCACAGGGAGAATCTTCCATGACTCTCACCTTTCCTAGGGGATTTCTGGCTGTGTTTGGTGCTTGGACTTGTACAAACAGCACCTCAACCTCACCTCCACTTTCATGTTGTGTATCCCCTATGTGTCAATATACACTCCCTTCCTTGGTGGAGGAGGCATCAGCCCTATGACAGTATGACATCATCACAACCCCTGCAATGACTTTGCTTCCAAATAAGGTAATAGCCTAAGCTACTAGGAGTGAGGATGTCAGCATGTGAATTTTGTACTATACAGCTCAATTCATAATAGTTACTTGAGCTGGATCCAGCTAGCCAATGCCTGCTCAGCCCCAGATGGAACCCTGTCCTTACCCTGGTGCCCTAAAAGACATTGGAGAGAACAGCTACAGGATTTGGGGGATCTTTGCCCGCACACTCTTTAGCCTGCATCTTCAGGATGCCACCACCCCTGCCCCTTTCCCTGCATCCTAAGCAAGCCAGCATGCTGCCCACTGCCCCTTTGTCAGAGGTCATCACGCCCACCTTCTAACACATTTCTGTGAGGAATGCTGAACTGACTCTGTCTCCCTTGTTCCACCCCTCACTTGCTTTGATTCCAGATCCTGAGCATCAATGTGAAGGCCCCAGCACTGCTGCTGAACCTGCTGCTGCCGCATATGGAAAAGAGAGGGTGAGGAAGGGGTGAGGAAGGGGTGGAATGGGAGGGAGCTTCCTTTGTGTCAAAGAGGAAAAACTAGAGGAAGAAGGCCCTGAGTGGAGTGAGACTATCCCCCTCAGAGACGAGCTTAACTAAGCCATTAATAGAAGTACAAGCTATCTTGTCCTTCCCACTTCCAAACTCACACTCTGGCCCTGTCCTCCTCTCATTCGCCCAGCCTCTGTTGCTCAGCTACAAATAGGAAGCCTACCTGCCTTCCTCTCCCTGATGCCCACAGCAGGCACACACGTGTGGAGCTCTGTCCTCACCAGGGGCACATGACTGGGAAGCCTCCTGTTGCTCTGGTTTCTCCCTGGTGCCATTTGTCCTCCGGGAGCCCTGCATTTATCCTGGTAACAGGAAACAGTCTGGCTGTGCTCCAGGGAGCTCCCTTCTACTCGTTGCATTGACAAACCTTATCACTGGAAGCCTTACCCTACCTCAACAGTCTAGGCACACAGCGTCTCGTGCAGGTGCCTTGCCATCCCCATGATAGCCCTCCAACTTGAGCCAGAAGCATTCCTGTTCCAAAATAGCTCCCTCTGGCTACCTCCCATCCCTCAGGCCTCTCCCTGCTTAGCCATGCCCCCTCTGAAGATCAGAGTTCCCAGTCTGTCTCCACCAGCAGCACTCTTACTCCCTCGTTACAGTGGTCAGTAGAAATCTTCTCAACTACAGGAAAAGGGCTTCACAGACAGGGCTTGCTTCCTCCCATTCTGGCATCCTGGTGCTGCTGCTGAGTTCTCAGGGCTTATTGAGCACTCAGTGTGGGCTGGACAGCTTCTTGGGCCTGGGTGACTGTCTATGTCACTCCTAACCTCTGACAACCACTAAGGTTCCTTCCTGTCCCAACACACATGCCTGATGGGGTATCAGACTAAAGCCTGTTTTCCAAAGTTCCACATGTACAAGGTGACAAAATGGCCAACTCTTGGTAACAAGTGTGATCCAACCCACTACTAATGGGCCTTTGGCAGATATTAATTGGCATGATATGATGTGTCAGTTGCCAAGCAGTGAACTGTGATTGTATATTTGCTAGAGTAAACCGTAAACATTTGAGAACAGTAGTAAGAACAGTTTGGAATACCATACAAGTAAAAAAACAGAATCTAATGGTAATGACTAATGGCTTTCCTATTGGTAACTAATTAATAGTATTATTACCAGCAGTCTATTAGTTACAGAATCTGAGCAAGTAAACTAGTTTTCTCTCAGGTTGTGAACTAGGCAGGAGTTCATGAAGGAAGCTCCCATTAAATGGTTTCCAGTCATTCTTATCTAATTACTGAAGTGATCTTTCAAGACCCAATTACATGGAATCTCACATATGCTGGAAACAAACACCTCCCAACCCACCGGCAGCTGTAGCTGCCAAATATATCTTTCAAAATTGAAGACAAAGTTATGACATTTTCAGACAAACAAAAATAGAGCTTGCTACCAAAAGACCTCCACTAAAGGAAACTCTAAAGGGTATACTTTAAGGAGAAGAGCAAAAAGAATCACACATGGAAAAATTTAAGGTGAAAGAAAGAATGTAAAATAACATTAACATGTGAACACATTTAACTACTTCTTCTAACTAGCAATTATGATGTTTTGGGTGTTATAACATAAGAATACAAAGCAAATTCAATTCAGGAATATAGAGGTGGAATTAAGGTGTTGTAAGATTATCTCATTTTTTAAAAGAGGTTAAATACATTAATTTTAGACTTTGATAAGCTAAGCAGGCTTTTCTATTCTCTAAGTGTTACATATAACAGTGGAAATGAAATACATTGCATATTTTCAAACTAATAGAAGGAGAAGAGGAAACAAAAATAATCCAAAGGAAAGTAAGACAGAACAAGAAGCAAAAACAGAAAATTAATGACATTTATAAAACATAAAACTGGTTATATTATTTATCCTCACCTATCAATAAGTGCAGTTAAAACATAAAGATTGTCAAGCTAGAATTTTTCACCAATTTAAAGTTTTCAATCTGATTTAATAGTGACATATTCTAACAAATTTTCCATCTCTAGTGACTGGGTTTATAGTTCTAGCAAGGAATCATTTTAGAAAATTCACAATTATAGGACAAGCTCCAAATCCAGAAGTTGCTTTGCATACACACTACAAAATGTCCTCAACTCAGTGGCTGTGTTTAAAGGACAAAATTTAAATCCCTGCTTGGAGACACAAAGCCGAAGCATGTCTTTCCAGCTTAGGAACAATAGTGGCTCCTGGAGTGTTATGTTGTCTATCTCCCATAATCCCAAACCTGGCATATGCAGAAGGAAACAAATGCATACAGAAGAAATTCATTCAGAGCAACAACTGGTGGAACAAAGAAGGTACAACATAATGCAAGAATCAGGGGTGGGGGAGGGAAACACAATTATACACATTAAAAAAAAAAAGCTTTGGGCAAAATCCTGTAGGGACGATTCAAGAAAAAAGAGCAAAGACATATGCTAGACCTTGGTCTTTTTCACATTTTACTTATTGAATTCTTTATTTAGTGGAGCCAAGAAGCCTTTGACTGCCATGTAAACTTAAAATGTTATCTCAAAACATAATAAATAAATGTCCATAGAAAGAGTGAAGGTACCAATAACCAATATCAGCCATGAAAACAGAAGGCATTGCAATGAGAGAACATTGATGCCAATGAGACACCTTTATGCTGACCGTAAATGGAAATTTTTATGAAATGGACAAATATTCAAAAATTATACACCTTACCAAAAGTAACCCAAGAAGAGATTTTTTTAAAAAAGAAAACTGACCAGTTCTAGTACTACTAAACAATTGCAAGCTGTTCTCCAATTATTCCCACCAAAGAAATCCAAACACAGATGACCTCTTTGGCAACATAATTTGAGAAACATAAATGAAGACCTAAAAACAAATGCAGAGAGGCACCTCCACCAGGCCCACGCACTCCTCCCTCATGTCCACAGTCTTCTACCCCCTCCCAGACAGCCTCCCTAGCCACGCACATGTGAGACCATCTGAGGTTCACACTCCACCCTGTACTTATCTTCCCAGGCAAGGCTCAGTGGTCCTGGTCTCCTCCGTTACAGCCTATATTCCATTTGTCGTAAGTATGACTGGCATTCCAAGGCGGGTAAGAGGAGACACTTTCCCTTCTAACTTTTAGAAAATTGGATAGATTCACAGAAATATCCACAGCTTGCCAACTGCTCCCTCAGCACTACTCGATGTGTAGAGCGAAGTGCTCCTTGTGTTCCATGAATGCAATGGGAACCTTCAGACATCTTTACTGACCATTGCCCCAGAAATGTTTATGACCTGGAGTCTCTGGGCAAATCAGACAGCCTGGTTCTCCACCATCCTCTAGTCATCTCTTTCTCTTTCCGTTCAGAAGCTGGGTGTTTACAATATCAGTAAAACAGCCCTGCTGGGCCTCACCAAAACTCTGGCAATGGAGTTAGCACCAAAAAACATCCGGGTCAACTGTATCGTCCCGGGGCTCATCAAAACAGACTTCAGTCATAAGGTGAGGACCAGAGACAGCTTGTGTTCCTACCCCAATGAGCACCATGTACCTCCTGCATGCAGGCCATGTCTCAGCATCCTACACACTCAGCCTTGGGCCCCAGGGACACTGGCCCGGATGCTCTGGGCCATGGTCTGGGGGATTAGCCACCAAACAGAATGGGCATGCTGTCAAACCCAACCTGGGGTGCCTTCAGCAGCTCCTCCACAAAATCACAGGGGCCATCTGGGGCAGCCCCTTTATGATCCTCTCTAGATGAGCAACACTAACTTTTCAACTTTTGCTTAAGTTCGTCGAGGACCCAGAGTATTCAAACCGCATGAAGGCAATATACGGAGTACACAGGTAGGTCACGGTGAGGCAATGATCTGCCCATGGCCTCAGAGCTGTCACCATAGCTAAAAGATCACACCCCATCCTCTGAAGGCTGTCACCCATTCCCCATTCTGGGATCTGATGACGTACTCCAGCCTGCCAACCTCCACAGAGACCTTTCCCCATGGGGAGTGCCTTTCTCCATGGAGGTCTTGATTGCATAGTGTCCCTGCAAAAAGAAGTCATGGGGCTATGTCAACCTCACCTCCTCTTTCCCTGCAGAACTGGGCAGTCAGAAGACTGCGCAGGACTTGTGTCCTTCCTATGCTCCCAGGACGCCAGCCAAATCACCGGGGAGAACATTGTGGTGGCTGGCTACTCCCCCCACCTCTGAGGGACCTGAGCTTGAGCCCATGGATTTGTCTCCCTGCAGGGCCCACCATGTTGCAACATATCATGAGGGATGAGCCTGCACCCCAAATGCATACTTTGGTTCAAACCCTTCATTGCTAGAAAAATAAAGAATATTTGGGGGGAAAATGGGTTTGTGGTATGAAACTGTTATTCAGATCAACCAAAATACTTGTGAGCTTTGTCTCTTGGGAGTCTGGGGAAAAGAAAGAAGATGAAGTTAGGTCAGCAGAGATTGGGAAGGAAGGGCAGGTGAGTGGTTTTAGGAGCATGCTACTAAAGGCTTTAGCCTAGACTGTCTCCTAAAATCTCCAGAAGCCTCACGTTTTCATCTCTAACTCTGCAGATAAGGAAACCAAGACTTAGACCAATGTGATAAAAGTGTTCCGAGGGCAAATGCCATTTCATGAGCCAGAACTGAGGCTCAGTCATAGGCATTTGGCTCAGCAGCTAAGTAGCCCTTTGGTGTGTCCACATCATGTATCAGAGTGCCTGGTTGAGTCCCAGCTCTGTCACCTCACATCCAGCTTCCTGCTCACAGTGCAGATGACAGCTCAAATATGTGGGTCTCCGCCACCATGTGAATGACCCCGGTTGAGTTCTTGGCTGCTAGCATTTGGCTGTTATGGGCATTTGGAGAGTAAACAAGTGGATAGATCTTTCCTTCCCACTACTCTTCCCCAAACACCTGCTGCCTTTCTCCATTTCAAATAAATCTACACATAGAAAAGGACAATTATGGAGCATGTGTCTTTGCTCCTTCAAAACCCGCTCTCGGGGGTCTGGTGTGGTAGCAAAACGGCTAAAGTCCTTGCCTTAAATGTGCTGGGATCCCATATGGACGCCAGTTCTAATCCCGGCCACCCCACTTCCCATCCGGCTCCCTGCTTGTGGCCTGGAAAAGCAGTTGAGGATGACCCAAAGCCTTGGGACCTTGCACCCATGTGGGAGATCCAGGAGAAGCTTCTGGCTCCTGGTTTCAGACTGGTTCAGCTCCAGTCATTGCAGCCACTTGGGGAGTGAATCAGCAGATGGAAGATCTTCCTCTTTGTCTCTCCTCCTCTCTGGATATCTACCTTTCCAATAAAAACAAATAAATCTAAAAAAAAAAAAAACAATCCCACCCTTGAAAGCAAGCTCAGAGACACAGAGAGACAGCTCTTGGTTTTCTGTGTGGGTACCCATGCAACAGCCTGTAGACTACTATAGTACTCTTATCTTTTTTTTGATATCTCACATTTTCTAAATCTTAGCAGACCTTCATGTGTACTCAGACATGGAAAGTAGCTAGACATTTTGATTTGTACACCTGCACATATGTGTAGGGGATTTTATACACTCACGTTGCATATTTCAAGCTTTACAGGGAACATATCAGTATTGTCAATATTTCCCTTTCTATTTTAACCAGCTTGATTCTAAGATTAGTTTGTCCCTGGAAGACTCATTTAGCGAATTTTCATTGTTCTTAAGTTCAACTAAAGCACAAACTGCTTTTAGCAAAACAGGATGTCATAAATAAGACTAGAAATACAAGAGTTCAAGTTCTGTGCTTGCCTCGGCAGCACATATACTAAAATCGGAACGATACAGAGAAGATTAGCATGGCCCCTGCGCAAGAATGACACGCAAATTCGTGAAGCGTTCCATATTTTTCTGCTTCACTGCTCGCCTTTTGGCTGGAGCTGGGGGCAGGGCAGGGAAGGGGTGGTGCTTGAACCTGGGGAAGTAGTCTTCCAGCCGCATGGTGGCTGGAAGGCCCTGGGATAAGCAGCGTCTCATGCCTGGAGCACACACGGCCACTACCATGGGTGCATCCGGAGCCAGTATCGGGGTGGCCAGTGCGCCATTTGGCGCTAGGCTCCGCCTGCTGGCTGCCCGGCCAGGACGCTCTGGGATTTGGTTTTTATGATTGCTGCTTAGAAAGCTCCATGATGAATCCTCAGGGCTTTGGGTGCATGAATCAACCCTAAAGATTCTCAATGAAGGTAAATATCCCCCGATGGACCTAATATGGTCTCAAGCCATGTGTTTTTAAAATTGTATAACTACATGTACTTTCCATACCTTTTACTACTCAGAAATTGGGCAAGAGAGCAAAGAAACCTTCCATCTCCTGTGAACGTGTGAGGAAGCCATGTAGTGTAACCTCTCAGGCACATAACAGGTAACTTGTAGACAATATATTCAAGACAACATTAGACAACAGTAAAACTACAAAGACATACAGGGGGGATCAAGAGCGACCCTGACAACCTATTAACAGGAGGTCATGTGCACAGAGCAGTGGGGGACCACAGAGTGGAACAGGGGGACAGGAGGAGACTTGTATCCCAAATGTGGAGACTCCCGGATCCCCCCCAATGACTATCAGTACGGGCACCAAGGACCACATCCCAACTGCCAAAGAGACCACAGGGGACTGGAATGCCTTTGGAGGCCGAGAACTCAGAGGACATCCCCCCGCTTTGGACCTACCACATGGGATGGAAGAAGCTGAATCCTTCATCATAGGTTCCAAGGCCATCGGAACAACAGCCAGGAAACCTGAGCGGTCTTCAGAAACAGAACAGTAAACTCCCTTCAGGACTTGGGAGAGGAGCAATCTCTGGTTCTTACTTAGCTCCAACTTCGGGTCCCCAACCTCTCTGCAATGACCATGAGGGATGCTCCAGAGCCCACCCCCCAACACACACACATGCACACTTACACACACGTGCACACTCACAAATTGGAATGGATAGGCAGAGAACAACAAGGAAGGCTTGGTCAGCATGGACTCACACACACCTTACTAGGTAGGACACGGGGATTAAGTACTCCTCACCAAGGTATGGAAGGTTTCTCTGCACACCCCTCCTAAAACTGTTTCGCACCTCAAATGTTGAATTGTCATTGAAATAGTCACAGAAAGTTGTTAAGGCCTTGCATCCAATTTTGACATATCGGTTGCTCAATACTGTGTCAATTTATCTCTTAACGTTATATATTGTTGCTGATGTTATGTTGAGGCTTTTAATTGACAGGGATTTTGCTTTGTTGGCTTTGCCTTTGGATCAGGGAGGGTCTCCCTAAGAAGCCACTGAACTTGACAATAATATGCTGGACTCTAAAACAAAAAAAAAAAAAGAGTTCAAGTTCTAACACAACTTAACTTGGGAGCAGTGAGCTGTCTCATCCCATCCCAAAACAATCATATCCTTTTCCTCCTGCCCTAACTCTGAAGAGATTTATTTGGGACAAGTTCACCTGTGTTTTGTCAAACACAAGAATCTTTGTATTTCAATCTCCATTTGATGTTGGGATCCCCTCTGCAATCTCCTTGCGAAGGGGCTCTTACAGTCTCTGACAGAATAATTTTAGCTTAGGAACTCACTATCTCTCCTGTTAGTATGTTTCATCTACAGTCAGCTCTGGATACTTGAGATTATTTCTTAAAGACAGATACAAAATCTCTCCCTATAACTTTCCCAACTGTCTCAGGATCGCACTTACCAGTGATTCTCTCCTCCCCTTGACAGACCCTGCACTGGTAATACAGCTGTGTTAGCCCTACCCATCCCCTTTTGGTCAGCTCACTTCCTGGCTATCCCACTTTGGTCAGCTCACTTCCTGGTTACACATCCCTAGCTCCTTCTCTAAGTCCCTTTAATCCTCCAGTGAGTAACATTTTCTAGCATCACCCTTCCCACCAGGCATATATTGATTCTACTACAGCTGGAAGCACATGAGTATTAGCAAAATCTGCAGTCCACATTTTTTCTGAACTCTTAGCTCACCCATTTTTTTTATTATTGTTAATAACATTGTATTATGTGATACAGTTTTATAGGCACTGGGATTCCCCCTACTCCTCCCACAACCCTTCCCACATAGTGGACTCCCCCCCCCCCCCTGTTTCTGGGGTATATAAATCTCCAAATGTCCTGAAGAGCACTCGAGCATCACCTGCAAGCCTCACTGAGGGCAGGCTGGAACACACAGGTGGAAGAGAGAGAAGATTCATGAGTCTCAGACCCTCTTGACTGATTGCAAAGAGGTATCCTTGGACCCAACTCTGGTTGGATGTATTACAGGGCTGTGCTCCAAGGCAGGGTTGGGGAGGGAAACTTGCATCCTGAGGAGAAAGACAAGGGGAGAGAGCCCTGATTCCCCCTTGGCAGGCATCATAACCAGGCGGCTCCACTCATCACCTAAAGCTGCCCTCTAAATGCTAGTGTCACACTCCTTGAGGGGTTGAACCAATGTTATCTTCAGTGGGAATATTCCTTAAGATGACTCTTGCTTGGCCTCCTCCCTTTCCTGACCCCACTTTTTTTTCAGTTTGATTGATTTTTTTTACTTATTTGAAAGGCAGAGTTAGAGAGGATGAGGGGAATGAAGAAAAAGATATCTTGTATGCACTGATTCCCTCCTTCACTCTCCAAATGGCCAGCAGAGTCAGAGCTGAACCAGCACAAATCAAGAATCGAAAAACTCCACATGGGTCTCCCACATGGGTGGCAGGAGTCCAAGCACTGGAGTCATCTCCTGCTGTCTTCCCAACTGTGTTAGCTGGGAGCTAGATCAGAAACAGAGCAACCAAGATGGGAACCAATGCTCTGATATGTGACACCTGTGTTCAGGAAGCAGCTAAACTGTACAACACTACCAACCCCTTCTGTTCCCACTCTCATGTCCCTTGGTTTTCTTATCCACAGGATATCACACCTCCATAGGGTCCGGGATTTCCCCAACTCCTCCCCCCCCCCGACCACCACCAAATTCCCATATCATCTTAATAAATCATTTTCACACATATCCTTTTCTAATTATCAAGTTTGGGAACCAATTCCCCCCATCTTACTTAATACCATCACTAGGATCCTTGATGCCATTCAGTATTCTAGAATCCAGTCCTAAAGCTGTACTTGCTAGGGCCTTGCTAGACACTGTGTAAGTTTTGTTTCTCTGGAAAGCAGACGCTGAGACAAAGACCAAGGT